TATATATATATATATATATATATATATATATATATATATATATATATGGGAAATGATATCACGTCACCATGCCATTATAATATAATGAAACAACACTTCTAAATAACCATGTTTTTGGTATTTGTATGACCCAAAATTTTGTACATAAACTCTCTTCATCTCAATAATCAATCTTAAAAAAAATTAAAAAAATTAATTTGTACCCTATATATGGTCAAAATGAGTCCCCTCCAATAATGAATCTAGACCATCCATTTGGTGAATTTCAAGATCTAGGCCTTTATGAAATCAAAATATACTTTTTCTTTTTTAACATTGTTAATCTAATGATAATGAAGTTATTTAAAAAATTTGAAAAGGAAAAGAAAAATTCTTCTAAGGCCTAGATCTAAGTATCTCACCAAAATGGACAGCTTATGTTAACTGGGCTAAAAATTACTTTCTAGATTGTGTTTTCAAAGTTTTGTTTTTTTTGTGATTGTTCATTAAAATGAAAAGAGTGTATATTTTAAAATTTGGGTCAAACAAATGGCCTTAACATGGTTTTTTAATATTGTTTTATTATATTACTACTCGGCACGAGTCCAAATAACTCAGCCCGACTTGGGCCGAGTACTATTCAAGCTAAATAATGTTAAAAGAATTTAAATATATAAAAATATCCAAAAAATAGAACATGTATGAGTAAGATTAAACAAAACACATCTAAATGAGGTTAAAAAAGTAGAAAAAAAGTAGATTTTGACATTCTCAAAAAAACAAAATTTCTATATATATATCTATATAGATAGATTTTGTGACAGGGGGTATTTTCGAAATAATCTAAAAAAGATGGGAAAATGTCAAAATAAGTATCCATAGCCAAAGTACTTTCTAATCTTTGCCAAAATGATAGATCACATAAAGAAAAATGTTACAAATAATTTTTTTATTTATATATATATTATTTTTTATTTTTATTTTTATTTTATTTTTTTATTTATTTATTTATTTATTTATTTTATTTTATTTTTTTAAATCCCCGAGTTGGACAAGGATACTCAGGCTCGCCACGGTGGCAAGCCCGAGTAGTTGAACACTGGTAATATGATCATATACCTCTATCCATATTTTTTTTCTCTTTTTTTGGGACAAGTACACGAAGTCCTACCGTAAAATCTCATAAAAGCAAGTCAAGACCCAAAAACTTCAAGTGGAATAGATGGCACAGAAAAGCTTCACCTCATATACTTCTTCAAAATATTCATTGTTTGTAAGACCAGTTGCTTCAGCCACGACATGTTTCCAGAAGGGCCGCCCATCACCCTGTCCATTCAAAAATTCATGGAATCTTCTCAATACAAACGAAAAGAAGAATTCAATGCAGTCCATTGTACCCCAATTCACCTCATAAATAATGGTTCCTTCAAACAAATGCCCATCTGCCTGCATATACATGCATGCCTACCACATTTTATTTGTATAAATAGATACACATGCATGTGAAATTTCGACATAATGCAGGAAAATGTAAGTTTCATTGACAGTAAGACTATGTAGAAGCTGCATGCATGATAATAACTCAAATAAGTCAAAAATGGATCTCTCAGGCACAAAACAACTGTCAAGTAGCAACATCAATTGTTAAAATATTTGATACTTGATACAAAAGAATAATATAGTTCAATAGACATAGTTAAGCAGAAAATTACCAGATTTGCAGAAGAAAGCTCCAAACAATTTCCAGTAAAATTGTCTATTACAAAAGCATTGGGTTTCATCATGAGTGAGAGAACAAAAACTCATAAAGCACCTGATACCGAAGCTTTTCAGTCCATGGGGCTGCAAAAGCTCTCCGAAATCCTTGTTTTATCTCACTTAAAGTTGCATCCAACCCTGCAGAAAGAACGAGTACAAGAAAGGTTACCTATCTTATTAAAAATCAGTATTTAAAACTCGGCTTGGGAATCCCCTAAGTCAGCACAAATGGGGGAACTGGCAAGTCCGGAGGTAAAATGATCGAGGGAGCAAGAACAAAGATCTCAATTATTGATTGAAAGACAAGAAAGCGTACAAGCCAAACTTCTATGGCTGTTGCTTTTATAATCAGGGATGTCAATGCATAAATTTCTTAGATTTTTTTGCTATTCTGTATTTATAGATCAAAACCCCAACCCAGATCCAATCTGGACTATTAAACAAAAGAAAGCAACCGTACCACCAAATGACAACTCTAACCTTGACAAGAAAAGACAATTCTTCCTTTGAAACTGGCACTAGAAACTTGTGAGACTGACTTGGGGAGTTTAGAGGCATTTTTTGGCAAATCCAGGTGGCAAAAATCAGCATAGCCAGCTTTGCATTGTAGATTTTTTTTTATAGCTTTTAAATGAGTGGTCGTATGCGAAAATCACGTCAAGACGCAAAACGTTATACCATCTGGAAGATGCAGTTCACAAAACCACCTATACCATAAAACATCAGACTTGCCGCGAATCAACGATTCTTTAAGTAAATTAGCAATTTTTATTTTGAAAATCTCCAACCCGACTTGGGACCCACCCGAGGTCCTCAGCCTGTGCTTTTGAACAGTGACAAAACATGCCATTGCCTGGTCCCAAATTATGGGAACAACTAAGAGAAAGATCACCAGCATAAGAATGCATATTAATATTTATTTTCAGTTTGAAAAGGCTCTAGATGTCTTGATAACTAGAGCATTATCTTTCTTTGCCCCATGCATACCACCACCATCGGTTTGCTTCAGCCAAACAAACACTGGAGGATAGTGCCATAGATATGAATATGTTACTTTGATTTAACTCACCTAACCACCTTGTAGATTAAAAATGACGCATCAGCTCGAACCCATATGGTAGCTATTTCAATGTCTATAGTTACACAACAAAACATGTTCGATCAAGAAATAGAACATAAACAATAAGTTTCAAGAAAGAGAACTTTCGAATTTCTTCAGGAGATTTTACATTTGTACAATGTTGGAATTATGAGAATAATTCATCCAAAAGTTAACTGTATTGTTTTAAAGAATTAAAATGCATATATCTAGACTAGGACCTAGTCAACTAGTCATCGAAAACACAAACCAAGCTGACCACGTTAAGGCCAAATTTTCTTGCTATCATGTTCCAACCTCAACTATAATCTCAAAAAAAGAGAGAAAGAAGAAGCAAGCAGTATACAAGCACCACATTGGACCAAATTGTAGATAAATAGGTGAATAAAATAAAAATTATCAGATATGACATGAACACCACTTGCTAAGGCAGTTCCCATGAGTTGCAACTTATAGTAGAAGGATTTCCAACCACTAAAGATGAACAAGACAAAATAACCAAACCTTGACTAACCATATTTGGCTCCAATAGCTGCATATGTCTCCTCAACAGGCTTGGCTGTTTGCAAGAGTGTACCGCCAGCATCCAGTAATAAAGCATCATACGCTTTTTCCTGGGCAACACTCACTGCATTAGAAAACAAAAAAGATGAGTAACAAACAGTGATTGAGAAAAAAGGGCTTGGGCTGGGGCTGGGACTTACCACTCGGGCTCAGACTTCTCAGGGTACTGATCCCGAGTAAGCAACTGAATCGGTCCAACTAGGCCGAGTCCTGGGTAAAAAAACGAAGAGGGGCCAGGGCTTGGTAAGAATTGCCCAATTTTTGGACTTTCGCATCCTGGCCTGGAAGGATGCTAGGTCCAGGTGACTCAGCAAGTTCGAGCCTGAGTCACTAGCTTTTAAAACACTGGTATCAACAAAGAGAGATCTAAGAATAAAAAAACCTTCAATAGTACTCTATAGGACTTCTCGAAATAATAGGACATGGGAACTCAAAATTTAAAATAAAATGATTAATCCATGAAGAAAACATTGGTTACTGGTAGGGGAAATAAAAAAGCAGCTTTGGTAAGACCATAAAAGAATAGGAAGTGTTAATTTGAAATTATAAAGGAAGCATCATGCACCAAAATCACAATTATATAATGTTCTGGAACTCAGCTCGCGCCTCAGACTCAGCCTTGGTGAAGCCAAGTACTCTGTCAAGTCCGATTGAACTCGTCCGAGTAATGTACATGGTCAAACAAGCCCTAATATATTTAAAAACGAATAAATTTTTTGTTAAAAATAAAATAAAATAGTCAAACTAAACCAAAAACAACATAAACAGTCCAAATAAGCTCAAAAAAATATATGAAACATGGATTTAGAAATAAATAAATTTACAATTGGAGACAGTTCAAAAGAAATCTAAATAAATGGACAATATGAAAATGGGGTATAGAACAAGAAAAACTCACAAATCATTGTCCATCCAAATTAATATAAGATATTTATACATTGATTTCACAATATTTGTGCATTTATTGCACAATTTATTTTTATTTTTATTTTTATTTTTTTTCTTCTTTAATTTTCAAATACCCGGAGTTTTACCCAAGTATCGCTCCGCAAGGGGCCGAGTCCTAAACATACAAATGTACCAGTTTCTGAACACTGTAACTAACATGTTTCAATGTGTACAAATGTCTCAATACAAAACTATTTCACATAAAAAATTTCTGGTAATCATTGTTAATTGTTGATTGAAAGAGTAGCCAAAATCGTCGCAACAATAACCCAAAATTAGTCATCGCTCAAAAAAAAAAAAACCCAAAATTGTTGATGATACAATCGATTTATTGCATCACAAATTATTCATAAAATTAAACCAAATAATCAAATGTTAGCACTTCAAGCAACCAGATGGATTACACAATTTTCTTCTACTTTAATGGTCTTCTAGTTATGAATTGGGGAATAAAATAGATTATGAGCATATCAAGCAACTACAACCTCATCAATTTCACCATTTTTTTTGCCTTTTTGCCACGACGAATAAAGCATTATGCAAGCTTCAAGTTAACAACAATTGATGAAAAGATCAAGGGCGAGGGGAAACCTGAACTAATGGCCATGGAAAAAGAGGGAGAAAGCCTGAAGCTCCTGGCTTTGAGGAGAGATGTTGCAGAGGCCCTCATGGAAAGGACATCCATGGAGTATTGTACTAAGAGAAAGAGCGTAGTTGGTTTTCACAATGTTTCCATAGCGAATAATGTGGTGGGAAATTGGGACGATTATGAACTTATAAATAAATAATGGGAGGTAAAAACAACCAATGCCAGAGAGAGAAGTAGAGAGAACGAAGAGCGAGAAGCCGAGAATTGCTTTGAAACCCAGTCTTCGGATTAGAAATCTCCGACCCGAAAAGCCAGGGTCCTCATAGCTCGGCCAATGTCCAGGTCGACCTCATGGGCCCAACCCGATTAGGTTTTAGTTGACCTAGATCCGATCCTGACCCATATTTGGGTTCAAGATATAAGATGCGGAACCGATCCACTGGGTTGGGTTAGGTTCCATGTCTACATAATATAAAATATATTTTATTATAAATATTTTATAACGTATAAATAAATAAATAAGAGTATAATTTGTATAGGGTTGCAACCCTAAACAATCAAATTCAGGCTTATCTCCGAATTCTATCATAAGATATAATTTCGGTATAAAAAATTCTTGGGATGAAATGAGAAACCATTTTTATTTTTAATTATAAAAATTTAAACTTTAAAAATAAATCAAATCAAGTACGTTTATAAACATATGCAAATCTTGAAAATAGACAGTCTAAATAATGTGTTGTAAGATGCATTATTTTTGGAAGGCTCAAAATCGTTTTTTTTCATATTCCTACATCTCGATGTTGAGGTGATCAATTAAAAGGTTTTCAACATCAAAATAGTTATTTCTGATGGATTTTTAATATGCAGCTTAATTCTATATTTTAAGATTGCGGCATTATATAAACTTTTTCTCATAAATACTACCATATTTTAATTTATTTATTGGCTTGGATCGCATTGGGTGGATCTCCTAGGCCTGACGCAATCCAATGACGTCCAGGATGTACCCAAGTCCAGACCCAACTAAAGTCGGATCTAGTCATTTGGACTATCCCACATTTTGGTCCAAAACCTATGTCGGATCAACCAACCCAATTGCCAGCCAAACGGATGAGATTGTGTGCCAAAGCGATCTCAATATTTCCCAAGCCGAATTACTTGATATTAATATTTTATCAATGTTTGATCGACTCAGCCAATCTGAATCATTGGTCGAACTAATCCAAGTTGGTGCGATCCAAAATCCTACTTCGAGTTTTACAAGACTAAAGAGAAGCGTGAACCATCCTCTCTTTTAAAGCTTTTTTGAAGTACACATCACTTCAATAAATATGTGCCTACAAGGTTGATACTTTATATAAACATTTTCGTTATTTGACGGGGATAGTTAGATACTTTATATAAACATTTTCGTTATTTGACGGGGATAGTTTATATAAGGGTAATTTTATTTGTCAAAATCAAATTACATCATCTATTTTAATTTGACAATATAGATTCAACACGTTTTTTAAAATAATGTAAAAAAAACGACATTTTCATTGAGATGGTATCAAATTAGCTTTATTTATTTACAGTGGTAAAGAGTGTCGATCGAACCTATGCAAATTTTTTATTATTTAATTCTCATAAGCACCGCATAGTTTAGAGCTCAACATGGGTGTGGTCTCTCTCCGTCTCTTTCACAAGAAACTTGCCTCTCTATCTCTATCACTAATTCATGCCCCCAAATCACCAAATAATTTAGAGCTCAACTTCAGGGCTCTCTCTCTCTTTTTAACTTAACATTCAACTCTTTTTAATTTTCCAATGAATCTGGACAAGACAGTTAATCCCACATTGTAAGGAAATGCAAAATCCATTGCATGTGAATTCTTCTTTTTTTTTTCTTTTTTTTTTTTGTTCTTTTTAAGTAGTTGTGGTAGAAATTGAGCTTGAGATATAGATTGCAAAAGTCAACTATTATCATTTGGGCCCCAGCTTAACCAATGGCTCTCCCAAACTCACTCTAATCACATGTAAAAATAAAAAATAAAAAAAATCACCATAATCACATATTTCCCATTATTTTCTTTCCAAAACCTGATTTTGAGTTCCTTTCTTTCCTAACCCTGGATTTCATTATGGAAAGAATGCTATGCTGAAAACAAAAGACACTTTATGGTGGTCCGAAGACCGACCTTCAGCTGCAGCTTTTACCACAGACTAGCTTTCCAAAACGCGACTCCAGGTCCCAACCCCCAACCCATGCTACAAAAATTTCATAAAAGAGATTTCAAGGCTTAAATTGGTCAATCTTGAAATACTTTTTCTCCACAGTCTATTTCAAGTATTCACGAACCCAAATCTGCACTATTTTTGGCATTTCAAATTCACCTACGTTTTCTAGATTTTTTCTGACACAGTATTGAGGTGCAGCCTTAAAAAAATTCAAAATTCCATAATGCCACGATCTCACCAAAAGCTCATCCAACATCTAATCATCGGAACTTCCAACTAGAATAGAATCCAGGCCAAAATGTAGCTTAAAAAAACTAAACTTTCCAAACTCAAACTTTCAACCTTGGTTCTGAATTTAAACCTCTCTCTCTCTCTCCCATGCACACATGAGGAATCTTCATACACAACATGAAACAACACGTAAGTGTTTTGCTCCAATCAAATAAACCGCAAAGAATATACATTTTATTCAATGCAAGTATCAGTAAAGTATTAAAACTGGATTTATAAGTAAAGGATCAATAAAGAACATATTTATGTGATCGATGTTTCATTCCGTCAAATGAGAACTGGATTTTTCCCTGTGACAGAAAAAATTCAAAGAATACAATTGAAACAAATCAAGGTTATTTTATTCTTTTGAAAAACTAATGACACTTATCTATAGATCCATGATGGCTTGGCTAACCTCCCCACTTTGGGGTTGAACTTCTCCTATGTACAGTTTGCCTGTTCATCAGAAAACATTAAATCAGTAAGAAATTTTAAATTTAAAAGATATGTAACTTCATTTCTTACTTTTTAAGTTTCATATTAGCCGTCTCTCTCTCTCTCTCAGAGGGTTTTCTAAACCTTAAAAAAAAAACAAACACTTGTTTTCTTTGTTGGTGGGATCATTTGGTCATTTGCCAAGAGAATTTGAAAATACCACTACAAATGGCTTTTTTGTACCTAGCACATTTATGAACCTATAGAGGTTACATTTGCATGAAATCCCAGCATATGAAACTGCATTGGATACTATTTTTAAGCTCACTCTTGGCAAATAGCCAAATTTAAACCTAACCGAAAATGATTTGCACAAAATTTTGTGTACGTTTGTGTTGGCGTGATAGAGAGAGAGAGAGAGAGAGAACTAAAACAACAAAAATATTACTTGGCAGTTGAATAACACATGAAGTCAAATGGTTACCTAAGTTATCAGGAGACAGCAATCCAGCTTTGAAATCCCTCTAACAGCAGGAGACAGCAATCCAGCTTTGACTACTCATTCACCTAAATTCTCAAACAGCAGTAGCTGGAGGTGGATTGACTCCTCTATGAGGAAAGAGTTTTACTATGGCTTTCCTTTCACAATCCTGCACCACTCATCAACAAAGAAACTTAATTACAGAAGCTCAGAGAGAGAGAGAGAGAGAGAGAGAGAGAGAGAGAGAGAAGTTTTATATCCTTCAAACTATACAAATAACAGCAGCAGTTTGGAGAGAGTCACTGCATATTAACGTATCTGGAACAAGGCTTGACATGCAAAAAGTTAGAGCCAGATTTTTTCAGCAACTTTTTCACATTACTCTGTATTATGACATATCATTCAAAATGGTATATCTATAGAAAAAATTGAGAACGACATGTGAAAGACTATAAGAATCAGCCAATTTCAATTCTTGATTGATATGGTTGTTTCTTTGACGTTCTTTGAACCAACATGGATCCTCTGTTTCAAAGAAAGATGAAGAACAAGCACAAGAACAAGAATAAAACAGGTAGAATCAAATCCCAACTGAATCTTCCACAAGGACAACCAGGGGCATCCAAGACTGTAAGTTGGACACATGCAGATAAACCTAGATAGTGGACAAGGTTCCTAGCTGTTTTACTCTTTTCCTGTTATTGTTTAATAAATGCTATTAGCCAATTTTGGTGTTCCAATACCCAAAATACCTCCCTAAAGTTCTTGGAACCAAACTTTGAGATGACATAAACAATCAATTAAAATTTTAAGTTGGAGGTTGGTGTATTTTAATACTCTTTCACCATAACACAAGGTGATGACAAAGAAAACAAGGAAAAAGCATTTGAAAAACTGATACTTCCAGCAACCAAAAGCACATGAACATGAATATTGATACGATTGCAGGAAAAATAATAAAATGAGACTAGTAACAGTAATGGGACTGACAATCAATATACTCCAATGTAATGGAAATACACAAAGAAAAAGTCACTTATCAAAAGAAGAAGGAATGGAAAGATAAGAGACAAAAACTTGGTGATACCTTAAACATGTTTAGGGAAAATGGTTTATCTGGATTCATTCTCCTTAGCTTCAAGTAAGTGTATGCAAAGCTCAGTTGATCACGAGAGGTAAACTGATCGACTTCATTGAACCAGAGGCAAGAAAATAAATTGGACATTGGTGTGTGAGCCCTAACAATGAATGATCCCTCTGGTACATCTGCAAAAAGAACCAACTTTAGAACAATCAAAATCGACTTCAGATAATGCTCAAATACAATAAAAGAAAAAATGAAAAGAAAACCATATACCATGGTCTGATGGACCATGATATGACATTGGATCATCTATCAACTAAAATGAACGGCAATAGAGAGACAACCACCATAAGGGCGATTTCCTGTTCTGGTAGGTCCCATTCTTTATCACAGTCCATTCTTTCATGATGATGATGACCCAACAGATTGTGCACATAACAGTCCACTAGATTACAGATACTTGTCATAAAAATCCATAAGCATTTTGGAGGCTAGGCTTGCATATGATACGCACAACTTGGAAGAAGATTGTTTGGGTCTGACTTATTGAACTTTGTGAGACCGTCAGACTGATAAAAGAGGAACTGCTCATCAATGACCATGTGATTGTATTTATTCAGGCGCTTATTCTGGAGCACCTCCTCCCAGACACAATGGCGATCATAGTGATTTGAAATAGCATATTCATGTTCTTCTCTCCATAAAAAATGCTCAAGAATAAGCAAAGGATCGGCTTGAAGCTGCAGTTTGCCATCGATCCATATAGAATACCTGAAAAGAAGGCACATGTCAACAACTCTAGCACTAGCTAAAACTACTGTGTGGTCCAAATCTGATACTTTAAATACAGTCTTAAAACTCAGTGATTCAGGCTCAGACTCGCCCAAGCCACTCAGATCTGGTAGAGTGCCTGTACAGGTTCAAAAACCTCAGGACTTGCCTTGGTCTCATAGGGTGTAGACCTTAACTGTTATATTCACAGAGTCAGACTGGCTCTCTCAAGCACAGGACCCTGGCGAGTCCAAGCCCAAGACCATGTTTTCAAACATTGCTCTAATGTTAATAATCAATTACAGTCAGTTACTGAGAGGGGATTGGCGCTTCAAAGAGGGAATATAAGACTGGATAGGTGAAATACAAATCATAAAAAAAAATACAAATGACAACGAAAATAAGAGCCGAAAGGCTAAAATATATATTCGTTTGAAAATTTCATGCAAACCAGAATCATTAACTTTCATCAACAAATTCAAAACTCAATCCATTACAAAAATAAAGATCTGGTAGGGTGCCTGTAGAGGTTCAAAAACCTCAGGACTTGCCTTGGTCTCACAGGGTGTAGACCTTAATTGTTATGTTCACAGAGACTCCGCCAAGTCTCGATGAGACTTGCCCGAGTCAGACTCTCTGAAGCACAGGACCCTGGCAAGTCCAAGCTCAAGACCATGTTTTCAAACATTGCTCTAATGTTAATAATCAATTACAGTAAGTTACTGAGAGGGGACTGGAGCTTCAAAGAGAGAATATAAGACTGGATAGGTGAAATACAAATCATAAACAAAAATACAAATGACAACGAAAATAAGAACCGAAAGGGTGAAATATATATTCGTTTGAAAATTTCATGCAAACCAGAATCATTAACTTTCATCAACAAATTCAAAACTCAATCCATTACAAAAATAAAGACATGTTTGACATTTTCAAGAAAAATTCAAGGGAATTGTAGGCAAACGAATTTTCCTTTTTTGTAGAAAAAAATGTTTTAAAGCATAAATACAAAGTCAATAAGAAATAATACCATTTTAATGGAAGAAGTTAATTAATGGATTGATGCAGTCCTTCATGCTTAGAACTGATATCATAATTCAAGACAACTTAGTTGGGAAAATGCTTCAATGATGATCATAATTCAAGACAACTGATGAGCAAAACTAAATGTAATCATCTGATTATATTACCTAGAATTTGGAAAAATTCGATGCTGTAAAAGTTTTGCCACCTTTCCTGCTTTCCGCTTGTCAGTGTATGGTAAATTCTTGACAACTACTACCTTCCATAAGCCAAGATAGCCTTCATCATTGACAACGTCTCCCTCCAAATAAAGTTCCTCAAATGTTTCCTCATCCACAAACATAACAAAGCAAACATTCTTCTTAGATGCCTTACTGATCTGCAATAAGGAGAAAATGACAACACAATCAGAATAATTGATCAATACAGAATAATATCTATAGTATCACTAGTCTTCTTGTGTATGTATAAGGAACGCAATGCTTCTTCGGGTTCCAAAATTATTATTAATGATCAAATAACAAATTGAGTAACCACAAGGTATTGAAGTTTATCTCTTTAGTGAATAAAAGAACATGAAATAATCAAAGATGGTCTACCTTATCTTCTATTGGATTTCTTACGACATCCAAGTTTCCAAAAATACAAGATGTTACCACAATTGAGCAGCTAGACATGTACTGTTTGTCTTTCTCAGACAAATCAAATCCGGTACTTGGTGAACCTATTGGGCCCTTGACAAAACCACAATGAACTTCTTGCTCTCCAGCAAAAAATGAGTTCTCTCTTTCTTCAACACTCTGATGTCCAGCAAATCTTGGTGCCCATGTATCAAATTCAAGTCCATAGGGCTTTTCCTCTTTGCCAGTATATTCGAGGGGAAACTTTGAGAAATTAAGTAAATTATTTGGCATGGCAGTAGAGTCATTCATGTTTAGGAAATCAATCTCACAAGGACCACCTGAAAGGTTTGACAACATGCGCATATAACGATTAGTTCCATGAAAGAAAAAGAAAAAGAAAACTTGCATAATATAATTAGTAAATTCTGATAAATGATATTCACAGGTATGGACTATGATTAAATTCACTCACAATTGTATAAAACAAAACTATTTTGAAATATGAAAACAAAAAATCCATTCCAAAATTTTATAATTCCAGCATTTATATTATAACTCCCTTGTGTAGAAGGAAGCCTCATTCTCAAAAGCAGTGAAGCAATACCAAAAAGGTAATATATTAGTTCACTTCAATATCGTCTATTTTCTTTGAGTAACCCAAGGAATAAACTCGTAAAGTTGCTCCACAAGACAATTGTTACAACAATGTTTTCCCAAAAATTATAGTGAAGTCAGAAACTATTGCTAGTCTGCTTCCCAAATTCATGGAAATGTGTTTACTTTGAATTTCAGCTAGTTAACCAGTTCTGCAATCTTAGCAGAGGCCATTATTTAAGTCATTAACTGGTATACATGAAACATATTCAACCCACATGGAGCATAACAAAAGCTCTTACACTCAAAGCATGCTCTCAGGTTTGCCAACGACAATTAAGCAATAAACATGAGGAAACAGCAACTGTAAACCATCAAAATTCTTCAAAATTTTTATGAAATAGCTAGAGTGGAGATTATATGAAGCAATATGAGATGCAAAACATTCTACCACCTGAATATCAAGCACAAATAAGAAGGGGTCCCATAAAAAAATATACAACTTTTATTACTTTTGAAAACACAAAACAACCAACAAATAAAAACATGAATAGCAACAATTCTGAAAGCAATTCTTATGCATTTGCCTCCTGGCCTTGTGCTTTGGTTGTCCTTTGCCAGAACTGTCTTGGTGCACAGTAACATTCAGCCTTGAATGTTTTACCTCAAGCCCCTTTTCATTATATAAACTGCTGCTTCCAATGTCCTTTGTCACATTTTTCATGAATTTCCCAAAAATAAGTAGACGACCTTCCTTGAATTCATTGTTGCTTTCCCTATTATCCTTATTGCTTTTCCTATTATCTTTATGCCAGTCTTTTGACTGTTGACCAGACCTTATAGAGCCTAAACCAGAATTGACTTTTGAATCTCTTTCATGCACCTTAGGTTGAGAGATCTGATTATGATCTTATTTGAACAAGATCACAAATAACAAATCGAGTCATACTCTAATGAAATTTCTCGTATTTTGAAGAGCAAAAAAGTCAAACAAGGACTCAAATAAAGTAGGAACTGTTGTGAATAATTAAGTTTTTCCTTTATGCTTTTTTATTTTACGTCCTTGTGGACAACTTTATCATTTTCCTTGAGAGATAGTTTTGTAGTTTCATTTTTTAATAGTAATAAGAATACATAAAAGGGGGGTATGGGGGTCAAGGGGACATCATGTCACCCTTTCTTTTCTTTCTCTCTTCACCACATCTCTCTCTCTCTCTCTCCCTCCCCCCCCCACCTTCTCCTATTCTTGATCTTCTCTACTATTTCTTGATTCTACAACCAACTAAAGCGTTGTTATTTTAACATGGTATTAGAGGCGGGGAGTCTTTAGGTGATGTCTTTTACGAAACCCTAAAAT